AAAACAATTTTGGACAAAAAAAAATTCAGGCAAAAAAATTTTGATCAAAAAAAATTTGGACAAAACAATTTTAGACAAAAAAAATTCAGACAAAAAAATTTGGTCAAAAAAAATTTGGACAAATAAATTTGGGTCAAAAAAATTTGGACAAAAAGATTTTGGAAAAAAATTAGGAAAAAATATTTGAAAAAATTTTTAGCAAAAAAAAAAAATTAGTTCAAAATTTTTCTGATCAAATTTTTTTTGTCTTTGATTTTTCAGGAAAAAATTTTTTCGACAAAAATTTTGTGGAAAAAAATTTTGGCAAAAAAAAGTCGGGAAAAAAACATAGACTATAGTCTTTGATTTTTTCGGAAAAAAATTTTAGGAAAAAACCATGGACTTTGATTTTTTGCAAAAAAAACTTATTTATTTTGGAGAAAAAAAATTTTGAAAAAAAAATTGGAAAAAAAAATTGTAAAGAAAAATTTTTTGGAAATAAAATTTGGAGAAAAAATTTTGGAGCAAAAGTGTTTGAGGAAAAACCATGGAATATATTTTTCTTTGTCTTTGATTTTTCAAATTTTTATTTTCGGAATTAAATTTTTTTTCGATGGTTTTTCACTCAAATCATAACGTGTCAAAACTTCTACATTTTTCACTTACTTTCAATTTTTACTAAACATTTTTTTTCGATGGGTTTTTAACTCAAACTTTCAATTTTTTTCCATTTTTCCTCCAAATTTTTTTTATAAAATACTTTTCCATAATTGGAAATTTTTTTTCCATAATTTTTTTTACGAAAATTATTTACAATTTTTTTTCCAAATAATTTTTTTTCAAAAATTTTTTTTACATCTAAATTTTACACTCAATCCAATCTTGTTAAAAAAAATCAAAAGACCATGATTTTTCACTCAAATCGAATCGCGTCAAAACATCCACATTTTTCTCTCACTTACAAAGTCATGGCCTATGGTTTTTCACACAAATCATAACGTGTCAAACATCCACATTTTTCACTCACTTTCCATTTTGTTCGATTTTTTTCCAAAAATTTTTTTCGATTTTTTTTTTTCCAAAAAAAAAAATTTTCAAGGAATTTTTTTACATCTACATTTTTCATGCTTTTCAGTATATTCAAACATGCCAAAGAAATCTACATTTTTCAGTCAATTCAATATTATTAAAAAAGCAAAGTGTATAATCAAAAAATGTAGTTAAAAAAGAAAATCGTTCTATTCTATAGTTGAGATTTCTGTTCTATAGTTGAGATTTTGTCCAAAAATTTGCTTTGATAAATAATTAATTTACCAAAGGAGAAGTTTATGTTCTCTCCAGAAATTTCTGAAAAAAAAGTTTAAATATAATAAAAGTTATCACTTAATACCTCTCGAAGTACCCTCAAGTTTTGAATCGCAATACTTTCTCTCCAACATTTATTTAATTTTAGTGAAGTTCTAAGCTATGTCTGAGAAGAAAATAAATGCTGGCTGGAAAGTATGCATCTCTTTCAACTTGTGCAAGGGAAAGTTGGCAAAAACATAGGCTAGTTTTCCTGGATCGCATAACACTTTTTTTATTTTTTTAAAGACTTGTATCTTGTAGATTTCACATTAATTTTGTATATTTATTCCTTAGCTTTTATTTGTTTGATTTATTTGGCTAAAAATATAGGTTTTTAGTATTGATAACGCTAATAATGTCATTAATTTTATTTATTTTTTACACAATTAGTGCTATGTCCATAGAAAACTTACATCAAAAATATAATAATCATATTAGGCATAATACAGTTTTTTTTAATTTTTAATCTGGATGAATGATAACTTATTTTAAAAATAATTTTGTCTACAAATTTGGACATTATTTATAGATTCATGTCACAAATTCTAAATTTCAACGCCAATCATGTAAAACACTAAACTCAGAAAAAATATTTGCTTGTTTCAAATACGTTTGCTTTATTATTCAAAAATTTATCTGTGAAGAATTTATCAGTTTATTATGCTTGGCATATGATTGCATAAGACTAAGCAGATATCTTATATTATTTATAACAAGTTCATTAATCCTAATTACAATTAAGACAGTCGACATTATTAATGATATTGATAAATTTTCTAGCAGACAAAAAAAAAACATTTTTAATTTCATATCACAGGCCAATCATGAAATTATGATCTCGAATTCTTTTTAAAAATTCTGAAAATTTGACTATATTTGTATTTATACAAAATTATTTAATCTGGTGTACTTTCACATTATAAATGAGATTTCAAATATTTTGAGTATTTTAGTTCTCAACAAGTATAATAAAATATATAGGTGACTAAAATAAATAAGTTCAGTCGCATAAAATATTGGTTTCCAAATATTTTTATAAAATTAAATAAACCTAAACATTTTTTTTAATAACGCAATATAGACTAGAACAAAATTTATAATTTGGCTGTATTCTCTTTTTTTTTAATAAGTTTCAATCAGATCCTCCTATACTATATTGTATTAAACTTGTGATGTGATTTATGGCAACACTTAATAAATAAATATGTCAGCCGTTTCACATCATGTTGCTTCAGCAATTTTCGTAAAATACACTTAATAAAACTTAAAATAACATCAATAAATCTTATCAAACATTTTAATATAAGGTGAAACAGCTGATTCATTAATTATAAAAAAAATCTTATTGTCTAATATTATTTTGAGAGCACTTGGCATGTTTTTTTTATAAACTAACACCGTGTTTGAAAAATTTACTTTGTCTAAACAGAATGGTAAAACTACATAACACTATAGAAACCTAACTAATATATCAATCATATAATAATAGAACATGTTTTATTTTAACCAAGGTGCCATCTTTATAATTAATATTATTCTTAAAACATTAAAAATTAGGGCGGGTCGATTTGTATGGGTAAAAAAAGTCGCATAGGCACATATTTTTTTCGGATACTAAAAATCAAAATAGGATACTTTGCCGAAGAAACCCATATCTCTAAAATGAATTCTGACGTCCCGTGCATTGACCCAAAGATTGGGTCAAATTTTGAAAAATCCTGTTACTGACCCCCAATAACTTTAGAAGGCCGATCTACCCATACCCATGGCTTACCCCCCTGACAATTTTGGTACTTCAATATGACAAAAATCAGCAATTTATTTTTATTATAAAATTTATTTATTCATAACATATGTAAATAAAACTATGTAAAAATTATAAATTATCGCAAATTTTCGCGAAAAATGCTTCGAAAAAATTGAAACAAAACTTTTAATAATTTTTTTTGTTAACAAGTTTTTTGTGTGTGTATGAATTAATATACGAAATTCGTATATTAATAAATTAATATACAAAAAATGGTTGAAAATACGAAAAACGATGATTTTTTACCATTTTTATATGGGAGACCTATAAGGGGAAGTCTCAGGGGTTGAACGATGGACATGGGTGGATCGGCCTTTCAAAATTCAACCCTTATCTTTGGGTCAATGCACAGGACATCAGAATTCATTTTAGGGGTATGGTTTCTTCAGCAGAGTATCTTATTTTGATCCCCAGTATCCGAAAATCATATGTGCCTAAGCGACTTTTAAATCGACCCGCCCTATTAAATATAATTCTAATATTATAAGCAACATCATTGAATCAATACAAAGGATCAATGTCAATATTGTAAATTGTTGATACATAGAAATATTTTTTTACTGTGTTAGTTTGAAAAATTATGTCAACAAATTATGGATACTCCTCCTTAATTGGTTATAGATAACTGCATCAATAAGTAGAAATGCAGTTTTCTTACTATCCAAGTGGCTAATTTTTAACCATGGTTCTGGGTTTAGTTCAGAACTACTGTAGTATAATTTAAAACAGCATGCACTCATGACAATGAATATAAATTTTCATTTTTCAGACCCACCAGAAAAATGTTAGTAACTATCACCTTTGTTAGATGGTTATTATGCCATGCTAATAATCATACTTGCAAAATAAATCTAAAAACTAATAAACATATAAGTAGTATGCAAATGTTCTATCAATATTCAAAATAAGATATGTTGGGATTTTTTTTCAAAGGTTTTTTTGTCTTACGTATATTTTGCAAATCAATTAAAGAGAAAACTGAATAAAATTAACAATTTGATTTCGATATGATAAATGAATAACTTGATGTGATAACGAATCCTCAATTCATATCAATTTTATAACTCAAACTTTATTTGACATAAAATAAAAAAAACTATTGTAAAAAGTTTTACAAGATTATACTAAGAATGGTATAAAATTTTATTTATATATTTTATGTTTTAATAATAAAACTGATATAAAATAGGTGCAATTAAATAATTTCAATAATAATCATTGCTTTAGTGTTCACGAGTTTCATAGATCTGTTATCATAAGCTCTATTAGTCTTTGTTCCAAATATTCATAGAACTGTAGAGAGCTTTCATCGCAAATTTGTGATGTTGATTTATGGTTGATTAAAAAAATTAATTTTGAGAAAACAAATTTGAAAACTACATATATACTTATGTAACTTTCTCATGAATAAACTTAGATTCAACTTCTGAAATATGTATTTTTCTATTTCAATTTTGCCATAAATATCAATATGGTGAAACAGATTTATTTAAATTTTGAAATAATGTTTTTCTGTTAAATTAAAATCTTTGCAATGTAAGTGCATAATAAAAGTTGTAGGATTAAAGTATGCATTAATAATTGATAAAATTTCTACAATGCCAAAATGCTAGTCTTTATTGGAAAGAGTCTACTATAAATTTGAAAACAATTAAAGTCCTTTAATTTATCATGAAATATTGGACTGTCTACTAGAATCACTTGTAGTTATGTTCATTTTTATACGTTATTATTTTTTTAACTTTATCATTTTATTCCTTTTGATGATAATCTTTGTTAATAAGAAAAGGAATATAATATTTCTTGCATAATCAAATGTGCAATCATAGTTAGTTAGTTATCCATGAGAAAATCACAATATTTATACTTAAGTTAAGCCTTGAAGTCCAGCAGCAGTGTCATCTTTGCGATGTCTATCTTCACTTTTCCATGAGCTAACCGGGATGTGAGGAGCAGGCAAAACAGATCTCAAAGACTGTACTAGTTGTATGGTGTCAATTAGTGCTGAAATAATCATAATGATAACTATTTATATTGGAACCATCATTTAATCAGAAATAAAAAGTGTCAAAATATTTTAATTTCACTAAAAAAGTACCATGATTTTATGCTATATCTTGGCACATATTTTAAGGCATAAATAGTTTATGCTACAAGACAACAATTTCTACCTACTTTTTTGTAAGCTCTCACTCTGCTTGCCATAAGGTTTACACATAGAAGGTCTGATAAAAGTCTTCATTCTAGCAATGTTCCTCATCAATTCAGAAAACGCTCGAACAATTTTGTCTCCACCAACACCTCCTCCACTGAGTGCGCCCAGGGCTCCGCCCAATGCTTCAGAACTGCCACCCCAAGCACCATTATGCAAAGCCAGCAAATCTTTATTGCTACATAATGTATCCAGATCTAGTGATGAGGTTGAGGTACGACTAAGAAAAAATGAATTATAAAAACAAATGCAATACAAGTTAAGATCATTAACATTAAGAGTTAAGAGTGGATTTGGAATGATTCTTATTTTATTTATTATAAAAACTATTTCAATGCAAGTTGAGATAATTAAATACAACTGTTATACATGCCTGTTGTTCATAGTTTGTAGTTTTTGTGTGTTTATAAAATGAAAAAGAGCTAAATAGGGACTCAAAATGTATGCTGTTAGACCAATGAAAAAAATGTTAATATCTTATAGCTTTTTTCTTTTTCATAAATCGATGAAATTCTGTACAAAAACTATTGATCTACTATTTTTTATCTTGCACAATCAGAATTATAGAATTTTGTGATATGAGTGAAATGAATAAACAACATTTAATGTTCGTTCCCCTCATATTACAAAATTCTATATATAAATATATATATATATAAATTTATATAATTAAAATTATTGGATGGATGCCCAAGAAACAATTTTATCATATATATATATATATATATATATATATATATATATATATATGTATACATATACATATATATATATATATATATGTATGTATGTATACATATACATATATATATATATATATATATATATATATATATATATAATATATTCTATATTATATAAATATATATTATAGAATTTTGTGATATGAGTGCAACGAATATGAAATGTTGAATATGAACAACACAACACACAGATTTTTACACACACTTTACCTAATAAATACAGACGCATCGAGATCATGGTATGCCTCATCTTCAGTGTAATTTCAAAGCAGTAAAAATTAAATGAATATATTCACATGCTTAGTATTGTGTCAAGCATTGTACAAAATAGTTGGCGTTATGTTTTTCAAAAATTAAATATAATTCATATAAAATATTTAATAATGTATTAGTATATAATTGAAGATGAAGCATATCATGGCCTCGAAACGTCTGTAATTATTAAATAAAGTGTGTATATTGTTCATATTTAACATTTGATATATATATATATATAATACAAAATAATAAATTAATCAATTATGAAATTTTAGACTACCTCAAAAAATCAGAAACTTTATGCTCCATAGGACTTGGAATATTATTCTGTGATATTTGTGATGTTATGGAAGTTGATGGAGGCTCATATTGCTTCTTGTCCAGCTGTTGCAATACTCGCTGTTTTTCCAGAGATGAAAGAGCTCCAAATTTCTCTAAATTCTATTGAATAAAATAATATTTGTTATCTTTTATTTTAGTAGCAACTGCAACATGCAGTAGCGATAAAAAGAATGAAACTCAATTCACATTTAGATACAAAAATGCCAATGCTTAGTAGAATTGAATGCTTCCTTCAGATAGATTTTAGAAAAAAAATTACACTATGTGCTTATATTAAGTGTTTATTAAATGAATGAAATAAATTTTATTATAATATTTAAAAATAAATAATTTGATTTTTAATTTTGATCTAAACTCATAAGGGACACTTTACCTGTAACCCTGTATAAACTTAATAAGAACCCTAATTTTTATACATACTTGCTGAGCAATGGCTCTATTTTGCTGCTGGATTATGGCAGCAGTGATTTGCTGGGCTGGACCCTTGTTAGGTGTTTGTGATGCATTATGTGATCCCTTAGGTGATTCCATAGGGCCAGTTAAATCCACTGCACCTGCAATATGCCCTATTAAATATTTTAGAAATTATATAAAGACTTTGAGCTTAAATTATTAGAATTCTTAAGAATAATATCCATTTCAAGTGAAATCTTTCGTGTTTTTTTGGAAGTAAACTCTTTATGACTTAAAATATGATAATTCTGATAAAACATAGTGATAGGAACGAGTACAATATACAGACAATATTTATGTAAATAAAGTAAAACATGAAAAATTTTACTTAGACTGGATTTTATATAAAATGGTATTTACATATTAAAAAAATTCAATAAATTTTCAAATAAATATTCAAATAAATCTTACTAAGAGCACCCAAATGACTCATATTAAATTGATCACTTGTGAAGTTTTGTGGAGTGTGAGGAGGCTCTGGAGTCATAAATGTATTTGAAGTTGAACCCATAGGAGCATTCAAATGGCCTTTATAATAGCGACAAGCAGGGCTTGGGCATGACTGCACAACTTCTACAATAAAGTCCTTTTCCATACCAAGGTTTTCTCTCCCAATAGTATAGGAATCCATTACCTAAAAATGCACATGTTTTTTTGTTTTAATGGCTATAAATTTATAACCTTATATCAAAAATTTAAAAATAATCTTGTACAAACTTTACTTCGGCACTGACAATTTAATTAAACAAATTAAAGTGTTTAACTTACTGCTCTCACAGTGGCTTCAATGCCAAGGTGAAGTCCATGGGGTCCACCCATGTGTTTTAACATAACTGCATTTGCAAAATGTTCAAATGGAAGAACTATTTTTCCTGAATCTCTCAAAACTAATCTACCTTGTGAATCCAGTGCAACACGACTAGCCAGGACTCTGAAATATTGCACATTTGCATTTCAATTAGCAAAAAGTAGTTACCATTTTAAAAGTGTGACAATGAAACATTCACGATCTTTAATATGTAGAAGACCGCATGTCCACCGGTAGTACACAATGCACTAACATTATAGAACCACCGGTGGACATACGATATATGTTATCTGGAATAGACCATTTTTGGTGAGGTTCCTACAAGTAAAGCACGAGTTTTGATGCGGTCTTCAAGGTGTTAAAAATAGTTAACCATAATGATTATACATTCTGCTTAAACAAAGTTTTTGGAATATGAATCATTCTATATTTACTTACTGAAGATATGCTGCATTTGGAAGCATTGCTGAATCTTTTAATTCAGTAAAACATTGCAATAATTCTACACTGGGACTCCAGCCCTTGTTTTGCAGATATAATTGTAATAACATATACAATTTTTCAGTCACATAACCAGTTCCAGGAGTATCACTGACTCCCGAATGTGCTCCCATTTGTGAAGACATATTCGAATGTTTGTTTGCTAAAACAGCTTTCATGGTCTCCGCCAAATCCATCTTATATATATCAAGAAAAGTGGGTTTTGATTGATCCTGACAAATATATAATTTGTAAGTACAAAAATATATTTAAGACTGATAATCAAATTTTATTAACAAACCAGGGCTATCATGGAGCAGATCTGATTTAAAGAAAAATTAACTATTACACTAAATATTACATATTTTCAAAACATTTCTATCAATCAATATGCAGACATAAAACACAGATTATTTTTTTGACAATGGTTGACATTTGTAAATATTGACAATTAAAGGGCCACTGAACTTGCTCAATCAATAATTGCATGCAATATGTGTTGGCAATACTGGTAACTTAATTTTTGAGCGCCAAAAATTTGAATTATAATGAGTGAATATAAAGATTATAGCATCGTTTTAGAAACATGTTTATTACGTATTCTTTTGTTTGCTTGCTTTTATATTCAAAAGAGATATTAAAGAAATGCCATTTGCCACGATTGGTTATCAAATTAGTCAGAAACTTTTTAACATTTTTTACCTTTCTATGAGTTTTACCGCGATTTACAATTTTACAGAAATGAGAAGGTAAAGTGCGGATAAGATTACCTTCTAGGAAATCCGTGTAAAAAACTACTTTACTTTCTGAGCTGCTTGATGATGATACACCTACAGTATCGAAAACGTACATAATAAATAGTTAAAATATTTATGTTTTTTATGGCAGCAAATATACATTTAAAAAAAAACTAATCAGCACGATTCCCAACAATTAAATATTTTTCGACCGGTTTTTGAATTTTCAAAATCGATTCAGAATTGCGGGCTAAAACGTGGACGAAAAAGTTTTCACTTTTCTGCTATCCAATTTAAATTTGAATGATTCAAAACTTTTTATTTGAATTGACGAAATAAAAAACTGATGGCATTTTTGGGAATGCTGGTCAAGCGGTTTCGGAGATCCAAAAAAAAGTAAAAAAATGCTATTTGGTGGCCAAGAATAATCATTAGACATATGCACATCAAATTATGAGATATTTTGTAGAGATTTTAATAATGATTGATAATATTAATAACTGATTGTAATAATGATTTTGTTTACATTTATATTTTACGCGGCGCTTACTTATTTATATTTTGCGCGCAGTGCGTTTGTTTGATAAAATGATCAAAATTTCCAAAATATTTTGAAATATAAAAAAAAATCAGAACTACAAATTCCCAAATTTGATTTTTCCAAAGTTTTAAAAAAATGTTGAATCTTTTTTTAAACAAAATATGTATGCACGCAATAATTTTGGTACGGGAAGTAAAATTAACAAGATAAATATTATTAACTTCCCGTAGTGTAAGTTATAGTAATCGCAAAAAAATCGAAAATAATTTTTTTATATATTTTTATATATCTCATTTTGACATACCTTAAAAAAATGGATGTATGTGTGTGTGTGTGTATGTGTGTGCGTGTATATGTGTGTGTGCTGTATGTATGTGTGCGGATACAAAATTTCGACGACGATTTCGGAAACACGGATGAAGCATTTGAATAATTCAAAAACATTCGATTCGTATTGATGAGAAGACGTGCTGTTTAGTTTTTGGCGAAGGCAGGTCTAGTCGTTTCGGAGATACGGGGCAAAAAGTGCCACAAATGGTATTTCAATTTTTGAGGAGAGTGTCCGATTCAAATAATCTAAAATACATTGTACTTGTATTGACAAAATGAACAACTGATAAAAAAAGACAGGTCTAGCCTCTTCGGAGATCCAATAAAAAAGTAAAAAATAATGCCATTGGCGGTCAAAAATAAACAGAGATGATAATAATAAGTAAGTACAAATTTTATGTACATTTATATGGTTTCCGTACTAATGTTTACACGTTAGATGACTACGCGGCGCTCACGCGCTTTGATATTCGACTCTAAATCAGCTATGCAGCACGATTGCTTAAAATATGTTCAAAATTTTCAAAATACGAAAAAAAACGAATATAAAAAAAATCAGAATATAAAAAAATTAAATTTTTCAGGAAAGTCAATTTTTTTCAAAATTTTCAAAATTTCTCAAAAATCTAATTTTTTCAAAATTATTTATTAAACGGGAAGTTCCAGCAATTTGTATTAAGGCACTTTGCCATGCACCACTAGTTGAAATGATATTGAAATAAATGGAAGAGTGTTTATTAACAGTTTTTAACTTCCCGTAGAGTAAGTTATAGTAATCGCAAAAAAATCGAAAATGAAAATTTTTATATATCTTTACATTTCAGGGGTTTCTGAATATTTTGGCATACCTTAGAAAAAATGGATGTATGTGTGTGTGTATGTGTGTATGTGTGTGTGTGTGTGTGAGCGTGTATGTATGTGTGTGCGGATACAAATTTTCGTCGACGATTTCAGGAACACGGATGAAGCAATTTGAATAATTTAAAAAACATTCGATTCGTATTGATAAGGAGACGTGCTGATTAGTTTTTGGCGTTCCGAAGATATTGGGCAAAACGGTACCTCAGTTTTTAAGAAAACGGAACGTCCGATTTTAATAATTCAAAAAACATTTTACTTGTATTGATAAGATGAAGATTTGATCAAATTTTCATAAGGGCGGGTCTAGCGGTTTCGGAGATCTAACGAAAAAAGTAACAAAAAGGCCATTTGGCGGTAAAAAATTATCATTAGATATATGCACATCAAATTATCAGATATTTAATAGAGATTTTAACAATAAGTATAAATTTCCATTCCTATGGGTTCCGTACCAATGTTTATGCGTTAGACGGTGGCGCGGCGCTTACGCGCTTTATATTTTGTCTCTATGCGGTTAAAGCAGTACGATTGCTTTGAAAAAAAATTCAGATCTTCCAACATATGTCAAAATAAAGAAGAAAACATTTTTTTTCAAAAAAAAAATTAAAAAAAAAAAAAAAAAAAAAAAAAAATTATTTTTTCAATTTTTTTTTTCAAAAAAAGTAATTTTTTGTCAAATTTATAGTTTCTCAAAAATCTTATTTTTTCGAAGTAATTTTTTTCAAAAATGTTAATCGTTTTTAAAAAAATAATAATTTTTGGTACGGGAAGTTCCAGCAATTTGCCTTAAGGCCCGATGCCCTAATTGCCTTAAGACAGAATTCCACTTACAGCTAGTTAATAATTATCAGAGTAGCAGACATAATGCTGCTGCTTCTCACGGGTGTCGTCGATAACGGCCCTAATGTTTACAATAACATTCTCTTCGCCAGCAGATAGCTCGTTGCTCGTTGATTTGACCTGAGAACGGCGTCGGTGTCAAATATATCTGTGCTGTGTCTATGGCGAAATTTGTGATGCAGAGATTGTTGTGTCACCTTGGGGTCATTCTATTTATCGCATGAATCGCATTATTAGCAGTTAATCAGTTATTGAGAAAAAACACAAACAGTTTCGCTACATAGCTCTTGTACAAACAATCTAGTGCAGAAAGTAAAAGTTCTAAAATTTAAATATATCTGAAACCATTGTTGTTATTGTGTCGAGATGTTATTTTATAGCATTCTAATCGCTTTATTAGCTTTTAGTTCGGGAGAAATTATACGAGTTCCATTGTATAAAATACAAAGCGTACGTCGTCAATTGCAAGATGTAGGAACAGAAATGAAACAATTACGTCTTAGGTACGGAGGACCAACTCCTGAACCATTGTCCAACTATTTAGATGCCCAGTACTACGGACCCATAACTATTGGTAATCCCCCACAAAATTTTAAAGTTGTATTCGATACTGGTTCATCCAACCTTTGGGTTCCTTCAAAGAAATGCCATATGACCAATATCGCCTGCATGCTTCACAATAAATATAACAGTGCTAAATCTTCCACCTATGTCAAGAATGGCACTGATTTTGCTATTCAGTACGGATCAGGAAGTCTTTCTGGTTTTCCTTTCCACTGATACTGTAAACGTTGGTGGGCTCGATGTGGCTAAACAAACTTTTGCCGAAGCTATGAGTGAGCCTGGCTTAGCTTTTGTTGCTGCCAAGTTTGATGGTATATTGGGAATGGGATACAGTTCAATATCAGTTGATGGTGTTGTACCAGTATTCTACAATATGTACAATCAAGGTTTAATATCCGAACCCATTTTCTCATTTTACTTGAATCGTGATCCCACAGCTCCGGTTGGAGGAGAAATTTTATTAGGAGGTTCAGACCCAGATCACTACAAAGGTGACTTCACTTATTTATCAGTTGATAGAAAGGCTTATTGGCAATTCAAAATGGATTCAGTAAAAGTTGGCGGACAAACATTTTGTGAAAATGGATGTGAAGCAATTGCAGACACTGGTACCAGTCTCATCGCAGGTCCTTTAAATGAAGTTCAGAATTTGAATAAACTTATTGGTGCTACACCAATTGTTGGTGGCGAATATATGGTTGATTGCGAACAAATACCAAACTTGCCAAACATTGAATTCATATTAAACGGGAAGGTATTTGCATTGGAGGGAGCTGATTATGTTTTGAAAGTTGCTCAAATGGGAAAGACAATTTGTCTATCTGGATTTATGGGAATTGATATTCCTCCTCCAAATGGTCCTCTATGGATTTTAGGAGATGTTTTCATTGGAAAATTCTACACAGAATTTGATATGGGAAATGATCGCGTGGGTTTTGCTGAAGCTGTTTAAAATATAAATATTTTTGTAAAGAAGTCTGATATTTTGTTTATAAATACTTTAAAATCAAAGATTAATAATAGTTAGAAATTTAGGAGTGATATACTAAATATGTAAATAATTTATGTATTTACAAAAATAAATGAAATAATAATTTTAAGGACTTGTGTAATTTGCATTTGTTTTCATTTTTATGAGTTTCAGAATTACATCTATGCAAGTTCTTAAGCAATTTAAATATGCTTAAAATAAATCTTACAAGTTTTTTATTATTATGTTTAAGTGATCAAAATATTAAAATATCTAAGTACATAAATGAGAGATCTATGAAAATGTGAAAAATTGATACGCATATGTGCTCAGTTTTGACCCTTATGACCTTTTATATTACCTTTCGAAATATCGAAATATCGAAATAAATCTCTTTGTGGCAATAATCATATTTATTAATAATAATTATATGGACATTTACAGATGTTTTGGTTGTTCGATATATTTAAAATTTAATATAATTAGGAAAAAGCATTACAATCGACATGATAATAGAAAATCGCGTGGTAAAATCAAAATGTAATAAATAAGATTTAGTTTTTGTTGTTCGACGTAGAGACATATTCTTATTGAATGTTGATTTTCAACCGATCGTCGAAATAAAAGAAAACAATATATAATAAAATATTTATTTATACGTTTCGACACTGTTGTGTGTCATCATTTAGCAAACTTTTAATGTTTTATAGTATCTAAAAGAATTTTTACAAAGTTTAAAAAAGTTAAATTTAGAATATTACATATATTAAAAATTGATATATACCACACCAGAAAAAATAATAACACAAATTTAAGAAAAATAGGAAATTATCAATAATAAAATAACAATTTGTTTATATACAAAATATATGTATATGGATATATACGAAATATATTTATATGGTATATACTTAAATATATGGGCATGGATGTTATCAGTAAAATATGTATAAAAACATTCCATATTCCATGTACTTTAATTAATTATAATATATAATATAACACGCCCACTAAAATAAGACACGCTCACCGAAATACTTTGATAGAAAATAACTATCTGAACGAAGCGTTTAGCTCTGGCTCTGTGTTTTAGGTTATGTTTTCGAAACATGTGCGTTAAGTCAATTCTAATAGTGAAATTAACATCGACTTCAATATATTAAATGGATAAAAGAGCTGATTAAATTCAATTACTAATTAAAAATGACGTCTGAATTTGAAATTGTAGTTGGAACTTACGAGCAATTCATTTTAGGATATAAAATTGAAAAAACACAAGTACGTCCGAAACAAATTTATAGGTTATTGTAATGGATTTGAAACCATGGAATTAAATTGATATGAATTATATATTGTTTTTTTTCAACAATGACATTTATTGATACGCGTTAAGAAATACTATGGCGATGTAATTATATTAATCTGGTGATCAGATTGATATCCTTGCATACATTAACATAAAAGTTGCTTTAAGGTTTTCATATAATATTTTTTATGGGGGCACTGTTATAGTGTCTGAACAATAATTTTACCTTGTTGCCCTTTAAGAAACATATCAAATATACAATTTTAAACACGTGTTACTCGTTTAGGTTATATTAATCACATTATATGTTTTCAGGAGTCAAAATGTGTTATCAAACAAACCTTTGCAACAAAATCCCACACTGGTTCAATCCGTGCTGTTGCATGCTGTGAAAGGTTCTTGGCTTCTGCTGGATCCGATGATAGGATATTTATTTATGACATGAATACAAGAAAAGAAGTTCAAATGCTTATTCATCATTCTGGTACTGTCAACACCATTGCCTTTACTCCAAAAGCCTCACATATTTTGAGTGGCGGTGCTGATGGTGCTTTAGCTATTGTCCGCACTGGAAACTGGCAAACAGAAAAATTATGGGGTAGTGCACATAAAAAATCAGCCGTTAATCATGTTGCTGTACATCCAAGTGGAAAGCTTGCTCTGTCAATTGGTGCAGATCATGTTTTACGGACATGGAATTTAGTTAAAGGAAGACATGCTTATGCAACTAACTTATCCAGTCGTGGGCCTCATGGTCTTCTTTTAGATTCAATTCATTGGTCTAAAGATGGTTCCCATTTCACCTTAGCTGGTTCAAGAAAACTTGATATCTGGAGCATAGAACACGCTGCAGTGATTGACAGTCAAGAATTAGACTCAAAAATGACTAGTTGTTATTGGATTACTGAAACTAAATTAGTTTGTGGATTGGAAGATGGTAATATATTAATATATGATACAAAGAATAAATCGAAGCATATTGAAAAAGGACACAGCTGCAGAATTAAATGTGTTGCTGGTATAAATATGTATATTGTAACATGTGATAGCTCGGGTGTTATAAAACTTTGGATTAATGATGATAATGATGATATTCAAGAAATGTGTTCAACCAATGCTTCCTGTAGAATAACATGTATTACTTTGGTTGATAACAGATGCTTAAAAAAAGAGGAAGTAGAAAATAAGGGAGAATTGAATGTGTTACAAAATGAACAAAGTAGTGACAATGAGTCTTTAAATATGGAAAATGAAAATAAACCAAAAAATCTTAAGAAACGAGGGCAGGTTGTTGTTATTGAGGAAGAAATAAATGAAGTTAAAATATCTACTAATGAAAATGAAGGTAAAAGAAAGACCATTGAAATTGAAGAAAAGGCTGTACCACATAAAAAACAGAAAAAGAAGAAATGCGATTCAACTATAAGAGATGAAGCTGAACAAGAATTTGAGCACGAGTCCAAATTATCTGAAAATTTGGATTCAGACATAGATCAGTCAAGTGAGAAGGTTACAAAGAAACAGAAAAAAAAGAAATCTAAAAATGAAAAGAATGCTAAAATAGATACAGAATCTAGTATATCAAAAGAAAATACTATAGAAGATGTTAACGGGAGAAAAAAATCAAAGAAAGATCGCAACATACAAAAACAGTCATTTGAAAGCAAAATATCACATAGTACGAATGTTGAGGAACATAAAGTAAAGAAAAAATGTAAACCAAATTCAGTTCAAAGTGAAAAAAATGCTGAAAGTTTGTTGGAAATATCTGAAATCAAGATAGCTAAAAAAAAGAAAGCAAAAACCGTTGAAAATTCAAGTATAGAATCCACCGAAGCAGAACAAATATCAAATATGCCAATAAAAATAAAGAAAAAAAAGCATAAAATGTTAGAAGATGTTGAATCAAATAATGAAAATGAAATTACAAATGATATAGATTTGCCTATTAAAGTGAAAAAGAAGAAAAAGGATAAAAAAATGTATTAGTATTTAACATTTATTGGATAAATGTATAAAGAATTTATTTTTTTAGGTAACTTTAAATTAAATATTCTTATTTCTATATGAAAAAAAATTATACTACTGGATAACGACAATATGAGTGACCCTCAATAGCTTCTTCTGGAACCCATTCTTCATTTATAGGTACCTTATCACGCACGGCTTCTACCTAATGAAATAAATAGTATAATTAAAAACTAAATTAAGCTGAATTACTATGGTATTAAATTGTTGATACCTCTTTCAATACTCTAACCAAATTTCCGCCAACCAGTTTTTTTATGGCAATATTTCCTATAATGGTAAAACAAAATGTTAATTTGTATTAATGTCATTTATATGTTAATATGTAATTTAAATAATTCAGAAATTATAATTATACTACTATTTACCTAATAAATGACTGTAAACTTTGTTTATGTGATTATATGTTGTAATTTATTGTTAAAAATTATATCATAATGGCTGTATCATTCACAAATTGTTGGAAGATCAGAAATCAACTATGCACTAGAAAATTATGTGGAAACCATACTTAATATCAATTCATACTTTTTCAATCAACAGAATTACACATTATGTGGTATAGGCAAGTTTTTTGCTTCTTCTACTAATAAACATTTAATCAAATATTTATATATTCCGAATTTAATGATTTATTAATGCAGTTATTAATTTATGATTTTATTTACCCCATAACCGGTCTCTTGCCAATTCTGCAAGCAAGTGAGGATAATTTGAAGTTGCACCACTTAAACCAATATGGTCTACTCCAGCCATGTTGCGAACATGATTAATGTACGATATAGCATCTTTCCTTGTTAATTGTTGATTTTTACAATGGTCCACATTCACCTAGTTAAGAATAACAAATATGCACAAGAATACATAGAGTATATGAAAATATCTACAGCTGGATAACGATACAATAGGCTGAATAATGTATCATTTAATAAATTCATTCATAAAATATAGTATAACATAAGAATAGTGACTTTCTTATATATCAAATATATTAAATATTAAGTTGTTTTTCAATATGATATTTTAAGTAGATCAATTATGAATAAACGAACCGACCGGCCGACCGATCTTTTCCAAAAATTAATCAGAACGATTTTCAAGAATAGTTTTTAAATTTCAAAAACGATTTTTTTATGAAAGTATGGACAAAAAATGCACATTTCTGCTTATTCTAAAGAAAAGGCTGATCGTCTTGAAAATCTAATTAACCTTATCGAGTGATATCTAATCGTTGGGCTGTTTTGGCGAAAACGTCGTTGAAAAATGGGGGTTCTCAACGCCCGCATGTCATTTTTTTTACCACCCCCACCTATTATTTTAATTGTTTTCACAGTTTATCATTAAAATTATATAAATATTTATGTTAATTATTTTAAATATTTACTAATAATTTTGGATTTGGTACACTAAAAATTAGATTATTATATAACCTAAGATGATCGCATAAAATACATTGAGTTTAAATTTATTTAGAAGATCGAGGCGAAGAAATTGTTGTCTTCTATTGTTGTCGCACTATTTTTGAATTCTTATTTTCAATCCAAACTTTTTACGACATCCAAAAATTTTAGTAAGTTCAGTACATTGCTTGCAAAAATATTTTTAAATTTTCAATTATTTCTAACGCATGTGTAATATTAATATTTGGGTTTTGAAACATTTCACTTTTTTATTTAAATACAATAATTCACAGAAAATCCCCAAAATTAATAAGTAGGTAAATCCAAATATTAATCTTACACATGTGTTGGAAATAATTGAAAATTGAAAAATATTCTTGTGAGCAATAATACTGAACTTATTGAAATTTTTGGATGTCCTAAAAAGTTTGAATTGAAGAAACGAATTTAAAAATAGTTGCCTATAGTGCGACAACGAAAGAAGACAACAATTTGATTACGAGCACCCGCGAATTACCTCGATATTTTAAATAACTTTCAGATGTATGTATTTTATGCACTTTAATATTATATATAATTTTTGTTCTGAATCCAGAATTATTAAAAAGTATTTTACTGATAAACTGTTTAAATAGTCAAAATATTAATATTAATTACCATAATAATACCACCGTTTTGTGGCAAGCTTGTAAGTATATCGTCGGATATGGCAGAAGTGTCGTTGCATAATGCGAGAGGTGAAGAATTGGCCAACAAGCAGGGGGCACGAGATACAGTCAAAGCTTGCTTCATTGCCAATTCGGAAGCCCCCGACACCTCCAACAAAACTCCCAATCGATTCATTTCACTTATCATTGACTGCAACAAATAAAATTTTAATAAATACAAAAATTTAATCTCATTGTCTTATGTAACATTTTTAGTATGTAGGTTTTTAGTGAAGGTGACCCTATTTTATTATGCTAACCCGGGACGGGAAAAAAGAATAGTGTTCATGCTAAATAACTTAGAAATGATTTAAAGGAACAAATACTATTTAAGGATGCAATAAAAAATCAAGTATTTTAACACTAAATCTACCGACAATATGTAATATATTTAATTCAAATAATAAAATGTTCAAATAATATATTATTTACTGTATATAAAATAAAGAAATTTTCATAAACTTTTATCTAAATTTTTGTTTATATAATTTCTAGAAGAAATTATAAGAAAAAAGCGAATGAAATCAAATATTTATACAGAATTCCATGCGCATAAATATCATACTTTATTCGACCTTTCGGAACAGTATTAACACTTTTGCTGCTTACTCCTTTTTTTATTGGATAATGTTTGAAACTTGTAACAAGCATTTTTTCGGTTTTCTTTTATACACCGAGATGGTAATGAAAATTGATTTATATAAATTTCTTTAAAAATGTTTGAAATGAATTTTTAAATTTAAAATGAATTTATTAGCCTTAGAACCTATCCAATTGAAGAATTGAACAATCTTTTCTCTTATCATTTCCCAAATATGAAAACCCACTTATTATATATTTACTATTTACTTCACATTTCGTCCAGAACTTTATTCTAAATTTTTTTGGTTCATTTGGTATATTTTGTATAAAGCTGCTCCTATATTTCGATAAAAACAACTTTCCAATAACATTTTCTACCGGTCAAATTGACCGACCGTGGTAGTAAGGCCGCATAATTTTTTTTTCGGAAAATAGAAAAAATAATTAAAATCAAAGTGTGGAAAAAATATTATTAGTATGTTTTAATAATTGTCATATAGTTTGATATTGGTATTTTAACGTTTAAAAATGTCTAAGTTAATACATAAAGTTTGAAACGGTCATTTTGACCGGCCTCGGTAGGTTTAAAGTTAAAATAAATCTTTCTTAATCAAAATTACCGACTCTTAGTAAGAACTTTACTATTCGAAGTTATTAAAAATCTTGGAAATCCAAGAAAGTCTATAAGAAGACAATAAACAAGGATCTTTCGCAGGTTCGTGTATTAGAATTATTCTTGTTACTTTCCAAGATTGAGGGAACACTTTTAATCTCAAAATTGAATTAAATGTTATTGTTAATAATCTAATTTCCCTTTTCTGGTAATTCTTTTATCATTTTTATAGAAATTTTGTTATGTTTTATTCAGTCACCGTTATGCGTTTTATGAGTTGGACTAGTATAATTTCATTTCGCAAAAAATGCAGATAAAATCTTCATTCCTCACGTTGCAACTGCCGGGATAAGGCTAGAATGTAGTTTTCCGGTGTTCCTCAAATTTTTCCAATTTTTCCAATTTTTCTTCTGAACTTCTTGCCCAAGTTAGTGTTGTTAAAATAATATATGAATTTAAAACACATATTATTTTACCTGTCCAAATAATGTAATTCCATCTAGCTCAATGTCTTGTTCCGGATGCGATTCCATTTCATAAAATTTAGAAGCAGTGGCCCAGGGCGTGCTGCACCCCTCTTGTGTTAAAGAAACAAATCTGACTCCTAGATGGTAAAGTGACCGTAGGACAGCAAGACTTGCTCCTAGAGCATGGCCGCCTTTAATGCCTATGGTACACATATAAATTATATACATATTTTGGCAATTATTACAAATATGCTGATATGGGAATAAGTTGAACGATACAATTCAGTCTTTACCTAAGATCACAGAAACAAAACCATCCGAATGAGCTTTCTCCATATCTAAAGCTTTATCAACTATGACTAATGACTCATGGTGTTTTGCAGTGTTTTTTGCTGCATCCACTCCTTCCAATGCTCTCTGTACAGCATCCAAGTGTTGTGCTCCACAAGGTATATCTACTGACCACAATAGTGCGCCTACTAAGCCTTCCTTTATTGCTGATAATGAAGTAGTCAAATTTTCCGGACTCCAATAACCTTCTACTAATGGAATTTCACTTAACAGTCGTTTTATAAAAGTCAGCCTTGCTTCCAAGAGAGATGATGAACGCAGCTGTAAAGCAAACGGTACTCCCGCGCCAATTAGTAACAATAACAATATACCAGCTACAGTTGTAGCAATTTTTTTCCCTTTCCATTTAGTTTTACTTTTTTTATTCTTTGGCAATGTTTTAGAATATGTAGAAATGGATCCATTACCAATTTTGCGATTATCTGATTCAGGAGGATATTTGCCACTTATGTCAGTAAGTTCTATATCGGTAAACACGAAACATTTTTGTTGAAAATTGGGCTGGTGCAAATCTAACATCGGATCTGACGGTATAGATTTCAATATAAGATCTGTATTTTGTTCAGTGTTTCGGAATGTTCGAAATTCCATAGTTTTACATAAATAACTGCAATAAAATATTCAAGAATTTAAGTATGTTTATTTTCACTATTTTACTGACATTTTAGTAGATTTTGTCACACATGAAACTGCTATTGATTCTACTGCGCACATGCGCAAATAATTTATCGTCGTCGCGCCAAATTAAAACAATAGATCAAACTGGACCAAAGAAGTATTCAGTTTTTAAATTGAAGTTTAATTGAATATTTTCTGAAATTAAAAATAACCGTTGGTTACACAGAAACTGCTACTAACGGACTTTATCATAAGAATTTATTGAAGCGACTCCCTACTGATCCTTTTCAATTCACGTATTTTTTAAATCGATCTAGAACATTTTGAGTAAATTTAAAAGAAAAACTAGTTGGTATTGGTATTTTGCCTTAAGGCAAGTTACATGAACTTCCCGATATGTGTAAATAATCGATTTAATCCATGACAAAAAATTTAATTTATGAGTGGTTAAAAGTATCCGAAGTGGATTTATTACACATTATTAAAAAGTGAACACGTTAACCCGGTAGGAGTATTTTCTGAAAGCAACTTTTCAAAATTCAATAATTAATTTTTTATAATTTTTTTAATATTGAACCAGTTTCCGTAGGACTTTAATGCTTTAGTATGTTTATTAAGACGAAGAGGAACTCTATCGCTACACCAAGTAAATCGCCTAATTTTAATTTTAACAAACGTCAAAAAAACTACTCATTTTCTCAAACTTTGATTAATTTTTAAAATTAAACTACTTGGCGTAAGGTCGTAACATTTCAGTAATTTATATGAGACCATGCTATATATCGCCTTAATATTTTTTCCAACAGCTAAAAACTTTTTCAACAACGAAATCGTCTGACAATTACGTAAATATACACAAACTCACAAGCGTCTTCTCCAATTTTTCATTTTTCTCATAGGGATAATTAATGTCATTTGAAAATATATATAAAACGCATATCTGGAACAAACAAAAAACAAATATGCACACCATTAACAAAAAAAAGTTTGAAATATATTAGTAAATACGATAGCTATTCAAATAATTAAGATAATTTCTTTAAGGATTATTTATAATCTGTAAAAAATCAGGAATGGAAAGAAAAAACATACTTTACAAGATTTATTATAAATTCTTTATAAGTATACTCAATAAGCACATTGAAAACTAATACTGAAGATCATTTATCCATTATCTTATGATCTATCGATTACAAATTCTTCACAAATAATACGATCTTGAAAAAATGTATAAATAACTGTTTTCGTTAACAGAAATAAATAAATAATATGTGTAATGTTTGTGATCGAAGTAAATGTAGATAACGGAAATAATTTTACTAATGCTGAATTTTGTAAATATTATACCTAAAAATAGAAAAAGTATACAAATTGAGAATTTTATGATAATATCATGCAATGCTCAAATTGTAATTATTGTATTCCATGAAGTATGTCAGACGCATCAAATTAGATTAGTCATTTAAGGGATTGGAAGTAAATAACTATAAATTTTTGAAGTCAATAATATTTTTGATCGTATACTTCATATAATAATGATATTATTATATAAATATTATAACTCTGTATTCGCTCAGGGTTTATATTGAAAAATGATTCATGATGGTCTAAAGTTATTTTGGAGTTGTAGTTATTGACGTTCATAATATTTTTAATAAATTATAGATTATAAATTTCAAATATTTTTATAACAACCAATTTAAAAACCCGAAGGAGTAATATCTTATAGCATAAACCCATAAATAAATAATATACTGTGTACTGCCAATTCTAGTAAAATGAATTGCCCCATGAACCTGACTAGTATGTTTAAAACAAATATACAAGAACATACAAACAGGTTTATAAATAAATATATAAATATATATATATATATATATATATATATATTTATATGCTTAAAAATTCAAAATAGAACTTAAATTATTAGCTGCAAAAAATGCATAGATATCACTATACATGCATTGTTATATGCATAGACATAAGCACATATATATTGAATAAATTTCAATCTGTGTTATAAATAATATTCTGGTATTATATATATATATATATATATATAAATATATACACACATATACATATATAATGTTGTACCAATCCAGCAGAGCAGTCGGCAAAATCAATTCCTGTCTTGATTCAAAATGATTTATATATTCATATTTAAAACAATTCAGGAACTTCATTTTCATACATACATACTATATATATATATATATATATATATATATATATATATATATGTATATATGTATATATATAATATTTATATACATGGTATATATATATAATTTATATCTGGTGTATAATACATATCAACTGCATAAAATGCAATAAAATTAATTATTCAGTTTTCATATAAGAAGGTAAATTGATTATATTCAAATAAATTTTACCATTAAACATAAAAGTTAAAATATAATAAAGATCTAACATAAATATGTATATTATTGATAATATTATGAAGTTTTCCTTTACTTTATATAATTGCATTATTAACATATTTAATAAATATTTTGTTTTGTTATATTCCTACAATATATGTTAATTTAAGAGAATTACATATATTTCAAATGAATTAAAATAATATATTTAGCTAGCATAGTAGCTTGTATCAATAATCTTAATTTCAAATAATTTAATATATAATTTTTTTTCTATTTTATTAAATAGTTATATATGATAGTTTCAATGTCAGCTAAAATATAAACAATTATTCTATACTAATAAACTAAAAGTGCAGACTAAGTAATATGTTCAATAAATAATATTTTCCAAATTTAAGTGTGATTGTTTCAGTACTAGACATCTACAATAATTGAAGACTTTATTACAGCCTGTATGAAAACATTAATTGCTTATATATTTTGCTACTAATAATAATTTGGCAGTTCTATCTAATAAATAACTTTACAATAGTTTTAAGTTCGTATTTACCATAAAAAATATTTTAACTAAAAATATTACATTTAATTGTTTGAATGTAATCAAATTCATAAAAATATATTTACATTGAATTTTAAAAAAAGATTTCTAATGTTATTTTATATAATACATTTAGTTTTACTCATATCACTATTATATTCGAGTAAAACTAATTTTTTATGACAATTTGAAAACTATTCAACAGTAAGTAGAAAATAAACCATATCATATAATCTGTTCCCAAAAGATCATTCCACATATATGCATCATGAAAATAATTATTTTATTTTCATTTCATGCATGTTTAACCTTATATTCAAATAGTTTATCGACCAGGCTTGTTTGTGTTACATAAAAGTTGAAAATGCCTTAAGCGTCAAACTGAATTTTGATGTTTTATCATTTTTTGTTTTTATAAATATATAATGAAATATATTGAGATTGCACGTCTATATTTTTTGTATTTTGTCAATAAATAAGTAAGATCTAAATTAAAAGAATGATTTTGAAGATATTGTAAACAAACACTTATACCTTTTGAATTTATTGTAACAAACTCGCATTGATGTGATGAATTGAGAGATATATAAAGGTTGGAGTAAAATAATAACATTATATCATTGCTACCCGTACCTAACTTACTATAAGAATAAAAACTTTTATATGTGCGTTTTAAATACTCTATAATTCAATACTCAAATTTGAAAGTAAAGTGAGTTAATGACTTCCATTAATTTGTTTGATAACTAAATATTAGATGCTTGAAGCAAAATCAATTTGAGATCTCTGGCAATATGAGATATATCGACTACGGAATCTACCATTTCTTGTACAGCTGAAACACTAGGAAATTGCACTGCAGCAATTTTTGTTTTATTTACTGTGACCGCCAAAGCTTCACTTAATGCATTTGCGCAATTTAAACCGCGGTCTTTAACTGGACTTTGTAAAACATTTCGATGAACTGTGTCACCAATATGTACCAGCCTGTGTGCACTTAGAACAACAAATTTTCCATAAGCTAAAAATATTTTTGGCGGTTGATTGCGTTCAACTGTCTGCAGGAATGCATCAATTGCATTTGCAAGATTTGCCATGTATATCACCGCTTGTTTAGCGTAAAATGTAACTATTTGCCTATCGTTACAATCTAAATCTTCTTCGTTTATTGTATCACTTACATTTGTTACATCTCCGTCGATAGTAGTTGACGATCGCCTATCTTCTGACTCGTCATTAATGTTTGTCTGATTATTTTTGACATCCAAATTAATGTAATCGTAGTCTTCCATCCAATTTCCATTATTATTATCATTTTGTGGCGAATTGGAACGCTTAAATAATAATGTAGCATTACCTTGTATTGATGAAACAGCCAACCTAACATCCTCTGTGAGAGATCTAGCGCACCTAATAAGTTCGTCCAGCGGATCTACGTTATTAGGGTATATTGGTACAGGTCTATCAACAGTCGCTTCGAGCTCTGGAAACCAGCCCAAAGCATCTAAAGTTTCAGTACTGTCTTCTATTATTTTATAAGCATCTTTAAGTGTTTTTACGAGTGGCTTTATTTTCTGCGAAATTCCTAAAAATATTTTGATACTTAATATATTTTATCACCAAAAAATGAAAATCCTGAATATGCAAATCATTTAAATCATGATGAATAGCTTGTACATAATATATTATATATAACTCAATTACTTTAAATACCTAACGTTTTAGTTATACATGCAAAGAGTTAAATGCTAAATATTTATATACATAAAACAATAAAAAAAACTGATGTGATATTAGAAAATTTCACCTTTATCTGATGCCTTTGCTGCATTGCCGGAAACACCCTCACAAAATTCAACTAAATCATATAGTGCAGTCTTTAGTCTAATTGCTGATAACTTGATATCCATACCCGTGCTCTCTAATTTATCTTTTCTTCTCCAATCTGGAACGACATAGCCTAAAAGGATGGTGGTCGCACATGTGACTTCTGTTTGAAGCCGAGTTAATGTGTACAAAGCAGAACTCAATTCTAGCGGTAACTCTTTCGGTGCTGGTGGAAGATCGATTTGTGCTACGCTAAGGGACCGTGGAACATCATATTCCGGCATATTAACCAAGGACGATCGATTCGAACAAATGGACAAAGAATCAGTTGTAAGACTGCTCACCGAGCTACTGGGCGTCATGCGATTCAAATGAGTTGATACCGATCGTGGTACGTCATAGTTGTCTTGCTGCAATGACGGTGAATGCCTTGGTACGTTATAAATGCTATCATGCATAGAAGCCATGGGAGATTGTCGCAAGCTTTCAGGAACAACTGGAGATGTCAAAAGTTGAGGCACTTTGCATACTCCATTTTGTATATTTGTAGAATCGTGTGGCAGTGATGTACATGGTGATTGACGTGGTACATTGTACGTGGTGTCTTGTTGTAACTGGACAATCGAAGGCGACTGACGTGGTATATTATACATGGTTTCCTGAAGAGATTGCACTGATGGGGAATGACGCGGTACATTATAACAACCGTCATGCTGCTGAAGATGGGGGGTAGAAGGTGAATGTCTGGGCGTATCGTAATTCTCAGTCGGAAAACTATGGTGAATCGGACGTGGAGTATCGTAACAGTCTATAGGAGAATTCCTCGTCATCGCCGAAGGATTTTCATATACGTAAACGTCACCTCTTCGCTGTGGCGTTACCACCTATTTAGATGGTACAATTAATAAAATTCATAAAGCTAGTCGCAACTTTATGACATAAAACTAAGGAGGACAATATTTTACTACTTACCCTATTAGGTTGAACATGCCATGATCTCCTTTCCCCACAGAATTCAGTTTGTTGATGAATTACTGGTGTAGTAGGTGGAGTTTCATATACACCAGCTAGTATTCTTAACCGATTTCCAGGACATATACCTTGACGACCACGAAGTGAACATAACCACCATCCTTCAAGTCCGTTTGTATTTTGCTCAAGCACAGTTAGTTGATCACCTCGTCTAAAAGCCAACTCATCTGGACTTTCTGCTATGTTATCATACAACGCCCGAGCAATGCACATCTAAAAAGTAAATAAATCAAAATAATTAAAACATTAAGTAATAAACCTATAATGAAGATTATATTATAGAAATCACAATTAAAGCAATAGCAATATTTATCGTTTAACATCGTTTATAACGAAGAGAAGAAAGATATAAATAGGAACTTACTTTCCACTATATTTGTGATTATTGCGATTATAGTATCTATATAAAACTACAATACTGAAATAAATTATGAACAAATCGGTTACTAGCACCGTTTTATAAATCAATTATCCAAATCAATCATTATTCAGCTAATGGAGAAATCTCACCTGAATCATATTGTAGGCACATCAAAACATTCAACAAAACTTTTATTTTATCAGCACGCGTGTAATATTTTTTGGATATTGTAGGTTTGGTATGAAAAACACAAACTTTTTTTTTATACAAACCTACCAAAAACAATTTTTTGTGTGTTTATTATCAAATCACCAAATCAATAAAACCCGCGAACGATAATACTAAGGCCATTTATCAAAGAAATGTGTAGATAAGCATGCCACTTTTATATACAAATACTTGTAATATTCTAGTTAAATCTGGACATCTAGCAACAACGTTTGTATTTGAATTTGAACACCTATTTTGTGCTATGGCACGAGTGACTACAATTGGATTAACACCGTTCGACGCTAATGAAAAAAAATAACTTGCAAAATGTTTATAACGAATAATTATGTCATTAGTATGACCGCAAAAAATTCTCAGCAATGCAATTCGAGTTATGTAAGCGATTTAAAAATACATTATATGAACTGAGGTTGAAAATGAACGCATTAAAAATGCCAATAACTTGTGTAATAATAAGGATAAACTCAAACGTTCTGGCAATGTCTATTGAGAATTTACACATAACATTTTTAATATATATTTCACTAATAGCGAATCATCACATTGAAATTTGTAAAATATCACATGATTTATACTTATATCAAAGACTAAATCACATTTAAAACTCACATCTCCATTGTAACATTTTTTTTTTAACAACAATTAGAACTTGAAAGTTCTATGAGTGATGAAACCCTTATTACGAGGGTTTTTAAAAAGTGACTTAACACTTAATCTATATCTGATAAACTTTTTAGTAATAGAATTTCTATATAAATAATAGATTTATGCAACAATGTCATCGTTTATCAAAAAATAAAATTTTGACTTATAGTCAATATTTGTCACAGAGTTGATACAGAAATAACCGTTTGATACTAGAATATTAAATTGACGCATGTATGGTCACCATAGTACAACTCCATAATTAGCACTGTGATAATTGTTTTAATCTCAATTAGAATAATCATCACAAACCTTACACCCGAAACCTTAACACTATTTTCCACAGTGTGACCTATTAAATTTAATTCCAGACTCGCCTACTAACTTAACGGAGTTTTCAGAAATAAATAACTTATTTATATACAGAAATAAATACATCATATTTTATGAACATATAATTAAGAAGCGCCAGCAGCGCGAACTAACATATAGATAGACAATTCAATTGGTCAATGGGCGGGAAATTACAAGTTTAAAATAAATAATAAAATAAACTCCTAATATACAAGACAATTATTAAACCAATATGGTCCTACGGTCTACAACTATAGGGTGCGGCTAGTAAACCAAATATAGCAAATCTACAAAGGTTCCAGAACAAAATTTTGAAACAAATCGTAAACGCCCCAAAATACTAATACATCAAGACCTTAGAATTCAAACTGTGGAAGAAGAAATTAACCATTTCCGAATACAAGATTTGGCTAAGTCGATATCCGAAACAACTAGCGTGTGATCTGCTCAAGCCTTTATCACCAAAGCGATTTAGGAGAAAAACCAAATAAAATCTGATGCTATAATTACAGAAGGTGCTATCGCAGGATTTCTATTCTTCACACGCTGTCATATCAAATTAACTGTAAAAGTAGCTGAATGTATTGTAGTGCATAGTTTGCTACGTAAAATAAAAAAAAATAGCTGTTTTTTTGTACCTATAGGTTACACTTAGTAAGTTATTTATTCCGATTGCTAAACAGCAACCAGAATAAATAACTAAGGGACCGATTCTGCCGCAATGTTATGATAAGGTCATGTTATGAAGAATTTTCCATAGTAATATAGACAAAAGTTATGCGGTTGGTGTTCAGTCAGGCGAATTTCTCAGGTTTTCTCATACAAAACATAACCTAAAAGCCGCACAAATGTCAAAAAAACGATGTTAGATAAGTGTGTGTTTCTGATTCCTCTTAGGTAAGATACGAGTGACGTTGCAGTTTATGTTTAAAACGCCGGAATGAACAGCAAATACATGATATTTTGACAGCATTCAGTATGATTCATTCGCATAATGTATGGGGAGTCGGAGCGTAACATGCCATGCCGTAACATTTCTCTGTTATGCGCAGAATCGGTCCATTACTAAGATATGATTTAGTTCAATTTTAATCATTTACTCACACACATACACAGGCCTATAGCACACATGAAATTGTTGTGCAGAATTTTTATAAATCAATAGTTGCCACTTCAGTGAGTGATTCAGGTCTATATTTGAAATATTTTTATTATTATAATTTCTCTAATACGGATGATGACTGATGTACATAATATGACAGAATAATATGGCATAATCTGCCCATTTAACAAATAACTTATTTTATAAGTAATTCAGATTTTTTTACATCTTATCAAGAATGATATGCAACTAAAAAGAGAAAATATAGGGGTTAGGGGCTAAATATGATGTGCTAACCCTAACCTGTAAAGTGTTCACGTCTGCTCGCATCGATTTTGTTATTATGCACTTCAAGTTCCTTCTTCCCAAGGCGTACATTCTATACTCCTCTGAATGCAAGCTTATTCATAGATATAGAAGGGAAAAATCCCTGTATTTGACAGATAACTGGCCAAAAATTGATGGAATATATTTTGAAAAGTAAGGTAAAAGTTCATAAGCCTGTGTATCTTTAAGGCTTGCTTAAACAAACTGGTAAATTTCCTACCGGTTTGAAAATAATAAACTATTTGCAATACCGTACGATGATACAGCCATACAATAATTATTAAGTTCGTGTAAATATCAAATATAATAAACTTTTAAGTTTTAAAATATAAGTCAAATGGGCAAACATATGTTGCAAAAAGCCGAAATATTATATAGTGTCCAAAACATCCAAAACAAAAATCTTATATTATAAAATATGACAATAAAATATGATAAATTATTACAAAAGCGTCTGTAACTTCGACCACGAACTTTGCATGTTCAAAATCAAAGTATTCATATTAGTTCACATATTATAATTTGTTTGTTTGAATGATGTCTGCAAAAGGAATGCGACATTAAAAAATGTTAACAAAATTTTGGATTACGAATCAGAATAACAAACAACAAATCATGGCAAAATAATGTAAGTTTATACATTGGCCGAATTATTAATATAAAAAAAGAAAACAAATAACAAAACATGATGCATGTATATTGCAATGCGGTTGAATAGTTGCGAGGTATTAGTTTTTTTTAAATGACTATAATAACCATATTGCTCAAATAAATGGTATTCCATTTGAAGATAAAAAATAGTTAAATTGCCTTAACATAGTTAACTAATGGATCAGAAATTCGGTCTTGTGAAGATTTAAGGAGTATTTCGTAGCATGTGAGGTATGATCATACATCTCCTGGATAATTATGTCCAGCCTGCATTTTTTTTGTTAGCATCAGTAATAACGCTAAACCTCATTTCTACTATTTATTTTAAAACTATTTAGTCTTTTATCTTTAATAATAAAAAATAATGTAATAGTGTCAAAAAACACAAAGGATTTTGCCAAGCCTTTCAATAGTCAACCAATAGGATCTTTATAAGTCAATCCTGTAATTTATCCGCAAATTTAGTGTAATTTAGAGCAGTATTTGACTGAATTTATTTATTATTCAATATTATTTATTATTTAAATTATTTATTATTTATTCAATTATTATTTATTTATTGTTCAATTTTAAAGATAGTAAACAAAATTATTTGAATTTTAATTAGTAGGCTTAAAAAATAATAGTTTATCTTGATTAAGTAATTTTCAAAATAATCATTCGTTATTCATGCATCATTTTCACATATAAGAATGATATATTTTTATGATAGTGAAAGGAAAGTTTTCGAATAAATAAAAATAATACATTTTTAAATAAAAAACATTCATTCAATTAAAAAAAATAAAAAAATATTAGATACATGTCGATACATACTTGTTAATATCAATTTTAGTTTTAAAAACAATTAAACTAAACTCGGGTATTGTCTGTTCTGAGAAAATAATTATGATTTCAAGAATCAAAACGCTTTCAGCTATCTTTTATATTTGGCTATATTTGTCATTTTCTATTTACACAGTGAAAACCGGCTTTTTTCACTAAAAAAACAGTTTTCAAATTCCATACTTTTCGTCAAAAAACGGTTTTAAAAACTGGTTTTTGAAAACCGACAAACTCTAACGTCATATCATAGTCACCTATGATATCATTGTATGAAAATTTTCAGTAAATAAATATATCTTTATTTATCTATTGCTGTAGCTTTTTTAAGCTACTTTTCATAGTACCTGAAGCTTAAAAGACAGATATAAAATAAATAGCAAAAGCATTATTAACAGTAATTCCATTAAAACACGGTTAACTAAACATCAAAGTGCACGATCTTCGACCAAACAAACGGTAAGTGATATTTTCCAGAATACTAAACAAATTCATTTTGTTTCATTTTGATTCAAAGCGATAATAGTGACATGACTGGTGGAAATATTCATTTTACAATCCGTTTAAGTGAAGTGACCAGGTTAAGCTTAATGTTTTTCTTATACTACTACTAAAATGTGATTCAATAAAACCCAGAAAAAATACATATTTATTAATTAATGAAGCTAGTTGAAGAATGCCGGTGTAATTTTTAATTTATCAATAATATATGACGAAAAAATAGGAATAACAGAGTAAAGTACTACGGCGCCAACATTTTTTTCTATCATGTTTCATAAATATTACCCACTAGAATTTCAGAAAATTTGTTGCTTATCAATCAGCTCTTCTACTACGAGATCAAAAAGGCCGCCAGTCGAAGTAAAGATACCGGCATCGGATGAAGAAACACAGGCACCCTTGTTGGCATTAAAAGGATCAACTCGGCAATTCTTTTCAGGTTTTATTTGTCACAGTATTAAATTACATGTGAAAGAACCAACCCCAAAACGCGTCCATAATCATGACTACATTGATCTCGTAGTA